CTTCACATGTGAAGGTTCTCTGCTAGTGGAATATCTTATTTCATGGATAAAAAACAGAAATCAAAATTATAGAGGACTCCCTGCGCGAAGAAAAAGAACAAAACAGGCTCAAAGAGGAGAATCAAAGGCTCTGTGAGCCAACTCGTGAATTGGATAAGCCAATGTAATTTGTGTGGTCAATAGAAATGGGTGTTTGATTTCCATACTAGGGTATGAATCGTGAGACTGCTAAATGAGCATCATGAGGAATATGATGTGAAACTAAATTAGGCCTCAAAGACAGAAAATATGGCCTGATTAGGATTTAGTGCAAGACAATCGATGTTCTAGATTTTACTGAAGGTTTGTGGAATGAATCGGAAGTTCAAAAGGGTGCTGCTTTGTTTATCATAAAACTATTGTTCCAATATTGAGCTCAGTATTTACTTGCGATGCAAGCGTGTAAATACTGCAAGCATGTAAATACGGCTTGCGATGCAAGTGATGGGCCTGTAAAGGCTTATGCGCTGGATGGAACGTACGGATAAGCATAAATGCATATGATTATCAAAACGTTGCCTTCTTTTTAAGCTTATACTCTCTAGTTAAGACTTGGTTGGCATAAGCGTAAGGATTGACATAAGCGAAAGACTTTCAGCGAGGCAATCAGCAAGCACTATACTGCTTATACCAACCATGTCCCTATTTAACATAACATCGACTGAGCAAGTGTGCTCATGTTTATGTTGTAGCTGTGCCCATGCACTTGTGCATTAGCTGGTTACGTTTATGCCTATGCTTGTGTTGCAACTGAGTAGAGCGCTTGAAGCCTGTCTCGCACTTATCAGATAATTATTAGCACGAGGATGAAAACAAGCACAAGGATGTTCACACCACTCTAAAGTTTTTGTTTTTCGGAATTCTTATTGTAAGTCAGTGGATACTCAAAACAAGGATTTTTTCCTTATTTTGAGAGTCAAAAGAGTACCGAAGCCATGACGTCACGTTACCATGGGAGCAATTTTCGCTGGTTCTGAACAAACTTTTAAGATGGCGCCTGTGCTTGTGTTCTGTTGTAACCTTGAGTAAAATGGCTCAGTGTTTCGCGCCCGAATGCAATCATCAGTCCGAAAGAGAGACATGCAAGTATTTTAGGTTTCCCAGCGAAGGTAGTAGTGAATTTAACTGGTGGAAAAAACTGCTAAGGTAAGCATAACTTCGTGTTCGGTTGAGGGTGTAGGTAGCGTGAACAAGGTCAACAACAGTGATAACCTTTGACTTATTAAACATGGATATTACTTTATTCTCCATCAATTATTCATCTAATCCACAAAACAATGTGGTTAGTTATATGTTTTCTTATCTGATCAAGTTATTTTCGATGCTTTATCGCAGGAGACAAGATTGAAATCCGAGTCGAAACTCACGAGTATGTAGCTGTCACTTTCGCGCAGGTTTGAAAGCAAATGGCCCTGAAATATTGAAGAGAAATTCAGATAAATTATTTCCAAATACTGAAACTAGAACTCCCAAGATTTCTAACAAGAAAAAGAAATCAAAGTTAGACGATCAGGACGATTTGGTAGTTGTGACCGAGTTCGTGGAAAAGTTCAATGAAAGTGTTGACGACTCTTCGTTGCAAAACGGGGCAGCAATTGAACCGAGTGCACAAGAAGTGCTAGCAACAAATGCCGAGAATTTGATATTAAAGTCTGAAATAGAGAAGCTGAGAGAAGAACTTAGTACACTAAGGCGTAGAGAACATTATCAACGAGAAAAATACTCTGTGCTTACTCTAAAGGACGATGTAATATGCATGGAAACAGGACTGCCCAACAAGCAAATATTCTCTGTAGTGGTGAGCTATGTCAAGCGTTTTATTAATGACGTCAATTACTTTTACGGTTGGAAGGTGGACATGGTATTGCTGGAAGACCAG